AAAGAGAAAGAGAGAAAGAGAGAAAGAGAGAGAGAGAGAGAGAGAGAGAGAGCGCAAGAAAAGATTAAGCCGTCGAGTACTTAAAACCTAAGACAAAGTGCACAGAATAAATAAATAACTAAAAGAAAACATTTAGATCAACAAGAACAAGAACAAAACGCATTAAGGGCTCAACTGGTTTGGACTGGAGATGTAAAAACTGATTGCTAAATAAACTTAAAAAAAAAATGTAATATTAGAAAAAGACAAAGAGAGAAAGAAAGAAAGAAAGAAAGAAAGAGAGAGAGAGAGAGAGAGAGAGAGAGAGAGAGAGAGGGAGAGATATAGATAGATAGCTAGATAGATAGAAAGATAGTTAGAGAGATAGATACATATAGAGATAGATAGATAAATAGATAGATAGATAGATAGATAGATAGATAGATAGATAGATAGAGAGAGAGAGAGAGAGAAAGAGAGAACTAAGATGAGATGAAGAAACATTGTTTAAATGTTTATGAAATTCGTTTTTAAGGATACGGTGTTTGCAATGATAGTGGTAGTAATGGTTGCGTTTTAATTGCGCGAATAGTTAGGAAAAGTCAACAATATTATTTTAGTTATTTCGTGGTTATCTCATGCCATTTATCACAAACTTGTTTTACAACTCTAAGTATCCTTAAGAATACTATGAAATTCTTGATTCTGTTTTTATTTTTGTGATATCCGTAATGACGCCAAAACTCTGATATCAAAGCGAATTTAATATTTAAGAACATTTTTTTTTTTTTGATTTTTAAATTAATCTCAATAGTTGTGATAAATGGCGTTTTTATGAAAAAAGAAAAGAAATCACAATGGTCACTTAAAAAAATCAAAGAAAAGAGGTTCTGAAAATTGTGTCGGTTTATAGAACCAATTCGACAGTGGCATGAGTGGACGGCTTCGGGCGGGAAGTTAAGCAAACGTAGTAGTTCCATCATAACTAATATAATAAAAGAGTTTGGGCAGAGGTTTTAATTGGTGGTATTAAAATAAATAATAAAATTGTTATAGGTGATATGGATAGAAAGGATAAAATGTAAAAAATATTATAAAGTTTATAGTTTTTTTTTTTTTTTTTTGTTTTTTTTTTTTTTTTTTGGGTTTTTATTGAGTAATTTACGCAACACAAACATTAATTGAAGAAGAAGTTTTTTACTGCATCTTAAAAAAGCCGAAAGAAGTTCGAAAAAGAGAGGATACAAAATTAATGTGAGATTAATGACAGTTTACCTCTTGTGCTGGCACAGCGTAATTGCCCTGTATGGTAAAAGCTTGACCATTGGCCAATATAACGGGTCCCGATACCTGTGGTTTTGGTCTATATGGTATAGTAGCACCTCTAGGAGGTGACTGTAATATAGTATAAAAAGAAAGGAATTTACTGTGAAAGCGAAACGAAATCTTTTCAAGTTTACCTCCAACATGACAAGACAAATTTGATAGATGCACTGGGTTATCTGTTCGGCGGTGCCACTCAAAGTGACTGCACGTTCCGTAGAATTTGGTAACATTTCACTGGCCACTTGTATGGAGCAGCCAGTCGTCTGACGTATTTCCTTGATTTTTGAACCGCTTTTGCCTTCGCAGAAAACGCAATAACATTAATATTATTATTATTATTATTACTAATTTGATTTCGTTCGTTCATCCCATAACTTACCAATTAACGATCCACATTGACTGGCAGGCACAATCAAACGTATGGGTATTTGAGTTTTACCCGCTTTACTAGCATCATTATTGAATTGCGAGCACCACTATAATTATAAAATCTCAGCGTGTTAATTATCAATGGATTTCAATTCATATTGATTATTGGTATAGAAAATTATAAGCGACATATGTATACCTCTTCAAATTTCTTGGTAATGAGGGTGAATGCCGAAAAGATTGCACTTGTTGTACCAGACACCGTAACAATACGTTCCGGACAAGACCCATCGGAAATGTTTATTTTTGCGCCAGACTATTAAATATAATTAAGAAAATTTTAAATAATAATTGTTACGATGCCAAATAAATATTTTTTCCTATGCATGTTCTTTTATTATGTACCTCCTCACGAAATCTGTTAACGATTTCGCCTTTTTTGCCAATAATACTGCCAACTTCCTGTATCGGAGGGAAAAAAGTAAGAAAAGAAAAAAAATTAACAAAATGACTAAATCGTATAAATTATTATTATTATTATTTATTTATTTTTTTTTTTTTTTTAGCAATTTTCACCTATATTAAAAGAAAAACCAAAGATAATTTAAAGTAAAAATAAAACTTTTAATGATGACGCTCGAGTTGTATACATAAAACACTGGTCAGGAACGAGCTTGGGCAGAAGAGATGACTTGATTTCATACAAATTTCAACAAATACACACAAACACAAATTTTTGGCCATTTAAGTAAGCCCTCTGACATGTCAGTTAGGATGAGAGAATCTTCTAATAACTGCGGCTAATATTTTTAGCACTAATCTGGAAAATGGCCAACCGGTTTTCGTCTATGTCAGGTCATTTCATTCAAGGTGGCTAAGGGTACACTTAAACTCACTCTACGTCTTCTATGTTGGTAATGTGTTTCTCGGTAATTGTTTCGTTGAACTAAAAAAGTAATTTTGTTACACCCAGTTTATGCCGTAAATGGTGGGCGATTCTGTCAGTATTTTTTATTCAATTTATGCCTAGTTTCTGTAGCCGAATGTGGACCGAAACACTCGCAGATTTCTTAATGTTATACTTTTTCATCACTGTTTACATATTTTTCTTCGAAAATAATGATGAAATACACGTTGTCCGGTATATAATTAAACTTCGTAGAAAACGTCAAAACGCTCTGGATAAATTTGAAGGTTGAGCTTTCATTTAATCCGCGGCAAAACATTTGCAAGCGACACTTGTCAAAATGTGGTTCCAGATTTACAAATAAACGCTCTATCTACCAAACCTTCATCGAAAATATATCACAACTTCTTATAAAGGTCACGCAAAAGTTCAGGATATAAATGCAATATTTGAATATACTACGATCGAAGCAAAAAAAAAAGTCTTTTCCATTTAAATCGCCCGGGATCGTCGCAACGAGTAGTAATATGGACGGTGGATGGTAAGAAAACGCTTGCAATACCCACAAGGAAGCTTCAGAGAGCCCAACTTTAAGTTCTGAATTGATTTAACCATGTTCGTCCGTCCGGTCTTGGAATGTTTTTGATAAATATCCTCTCTGCCATAAAAAGGAAGCTAGACCTTTTAACTTTTGCAGAAACATTGGAATTTCTTGCACGCAGGTCGGCATTGGTCGAGTCAAATCGATCGAAGCGCTCGCCTACCGTACGAGGTTTTCAAAAGCAAAAAAATTATTTTTTGCTGATTACTACTTATAAGCTACAATAGATAAAGTTACGAAACTTTGCGCTTATATTCTATGGGTAGTCACAGCAGTGCTTGTAAACAATCAAAACAATCGGTCTCGACTATCCACTATTATAGAATATTAAAATGACATTCTTTTGTTAAATGTTTCCGACAACATGTAGAAGAAAGTTTCACATACTATATTCATCTAAATCATTATGTCTGTCCGCCTGTTTCTTTGGGTTTATTTGTATGGCCAACAACCTTATCAAGCTTAAATTTGGCGAAAATATTGGAAGTGCTTGCACGTAGGACGCTATTGAAAATTGGTGAAATCGGTCAAAGAATACACCCACAAAAGAATGCATACTGAGAGCAACTTGATTTTCAAAATCAAAATGAAATAAGAATTTCCGTTCATCACGAACATGAACCGCCTGCAACTAAAAAATTTTGCATATTTTATTCTAAGAGAACACGGTGGTGGGTGTTGGATTGGAGAAGATTCGGTCGATATCGAGTACAATTTTTTTAATTGATTTCGCTTACGCGTGTAACACTCTAAGCTAAATTCAAAGTTAAATCATTAGCTAAACAATCTAACATAAGCTGAGTTTTGTTGTTTCGTTCGAGAAAAAGAATTGATTCGTCTTTCTATTTTTAAGTGGATTTTTTATTACAAAAGACAGGGGAACGGAATTGGTCACGCGACTATTTGAAATTTGAAAAGATGCAAACAATAGGAGTTGTCCCCGCCATAAGTTTTGACAGCTTAAGCTGGCAAAGGGAACTCATTAGGCATCACATATCACCGTAATGGAAGAAAATTAAATCCTCCTATATTATCTATTGATTACCGTAGTAATATTTAATCCCATTTCTTTATTATAATATCACACAATTTACTTTCAAGGGAAAGGAAAATCCATAAGCGTAATTAAATTATTTATTGGAAGGCAACGTCTATTTGTGAAATATTCGGACATTTCCTTATTTATAATAATGTAAAAAATGAATATAACTCGAATTATATTTACATACAACATATATGTAAAAGATGTCTCTCGATGAAAGAGATAAATACGTTTTTATGGCAATCCCTTCAATTTTATGTTTGACAAGATTAATATGGACCAACTCGTTTCATATAGGCTGAAAGTATAGTATAATAGTGAAGAATTCGCTTTGTATGCAAAATATAATTTACATTGTAGCGCTAATGATATCGACACGCATATGAAAGTAGTAACGGATATGTGTGCGTGAAATTTGTACATTTTAATTTTTCGTGGGAACTAAATCGCTGTTAAAGTGGAAAATTGTAACTATGCGTGTTAAACGAGGATGTTACAGATTAGGAAGACACATGAACACCTTACACATTAATATATTTGAAGTGAGAGATCTCAATATATAGATGCTATTCGATAATTGTGATTATTTATGGATCACGTTTATACAAGATGACAGATAAACTGGCTATGTTCGTTCTCAAGATCGTTATGGAAAATTGTAAAAAAAAAAACAAATAAAAGAAAAAAAATAAAAAAAAAATAATATTAAAGGAATTGCAGTTTGAGGTCTCTGACAATGAGACATGCTGTTATGGTGCGCTTTGTCTTGCTTTCGAGACGTTGTCGTTGTTGTCGGCGATACATTTCGAAGACACATATGTTTTTAATATGTTGCTGCAATGATTGCAATGTGAATAAATCATTGTGTCTAGCACGCAATTGCAGCAATAATTTCCGTTATGCCACCGAGTTGTGCAAGGAGCATATATATATGTACACGTAAATAAAAAACGTTCTTACAATTTAACACTAATAATAATAATAATAATAATAATAATAATAATAATAACAATAATGAAAATATTTAAATGCGTTTGCAAGAAGAAGTCGAACAGTCAAATTCAGAAGCTTGAAAAATAAACCAACAACGCGAAGTCAGTTGTAATATATTGCGAGAGTAGCGTTCGTATTGTGCGCGACAATGTAAATTGCTTTTTATTTGATTAAGGAAATCAACGAGGCGCGATTATGACTTTTATTTATTAATTCTAGACGCTACAGTCGTATTCATATAAATGCGAGCAATTCGTATTGATATACCTAATTTATATGTTTTGTTAGTTATACCATGTGTACACATATGTATGTAATTTAGCTGCATGTCATCGTTTGATTTTTTGTTCATCTATTCACATTTTGTAATTCCGAAGTGAAAAGTGAAATCTGGATCACGTTTTTCTTTCAATATTACATATTGCTCAGATCATGCAATTATTTGTTGAATACAAGATTTATTCAAACTATTCCGCGACGGGACGTCTTGTCTTACAGAACACAATTTCGTTGAGGTAATTTTCGAAAACTTGCCTCCACACAGTGGGCCATCACTCTCAAAGTTTCACGAATTTGAAGAT